GGCCGATGTCACGCAGCGCGTGTCCGATTTCAATCTGCGCTATGATGCCGAGCTCAAGCTCGGCTTCGCGGTACGGATAGTACACTAGCCCCCCGAGCTCTGAAGACCTTGGGTCGAGGAGTTAATACCGAGCTCGATGAAGGGTCGTGACTCTTTGCGTGCGCTTCTCTAACGTGACGCCATGTGTCATAAGTGTCACTTCGTTTCCCGAAACGCGTGGGTGACGTGTTAATGGGGGGTGACGATTATGTAATGATGGGTGCAGTCGTCATAATGGGCTCCATTAATGTGTCGTCAGTTTTTTTCCTCTCTCTCCACATGTCGCTTCCGTTTTAATTTTAGGAAACCCCTTTTTCCCTTTCTCCTTCGCGCTCTCCCCTTCACTTTACTCTTCCACTCCTTTTCTTTCTTGGCTTCTCATGCACGCCGAACTCTGCACATTTCTTTTCATCGTCTTTGTCTGACTCTGTCGTCGCCGTTTCCGGCAACCCAGTCACCATTAAGGTCACTTTCTGAGGAGGAGTACCAGGTACTTCTTTTCTGATCTCTTCTTTCCCGTTCTTCCTCTCCACTGGTCTCCCTCTTCTTCTTTCTTCATCTTTCTCCTTTTTCTAGCCTTTTCTATTCTCGATGGCTGGTGATAGTGGTGTCGCACCTTCTGCGCCGGCCAAGGGCAAGGGAAAGGCGCGCGGCAAAGTGGTGGCCGACGAGACGGTCGCTGCTGAAAAGAAAAGGGGTGAGAATAACCCTAGGGATTCCTTCCCCGTCATCACTGACTATGAATGGGTCAGAGGGGACTTCGGAGAGTTCTAGAGCATCCTCAAATGATTTCTTGAGGTTAATGCAATGTGGAAATCACTCAGGATCTGCCAAGGATCCATTTCCAAGCTCATCCGACTCGAGCCTTGTCAGCTCAACGAGCATGTGTATATGGGAGGTACTTCTAATCCCCCCTTTTTCTACATGTACCAGTGTTTTTTAAGGGATTTAGGTGTATGCCTACCCTTCACTCAGTTCGAGTGCGATATTTTAAATTTTATCAACGCGACTCCTTGCCAGCTTCACCCCAATAGTTGGGGTTTTTTTTAGGACTTTTCAAGTCCTGTGCTCGACCCTAGGAATAGGGTTGTCACTGCCTGTTTTTCTCCATTTCTACCAACTTAAGTTGGGTGAGCCTCCCCATGGTTGGGTTTCTTTGAATGGGAGTAAGCTTGGGGGGTTGTTTTCGCTATATTCCCAGTCATACAAGAGATTCAAGAAGGAGTTCTTCCGAGTTCTGCCTAAAGAGGTCGACCCGCTAAAGGATGAAGTATTCCATTTCGACGGGTTGCCGAGTTTCCCTCTCTACTGGCAGCAAGATCCAATCAAGTTCAACGGGTCGGCGGTCTTCAGCTAACGGCTTCGGATACTGTGGCCATTACCAACCTAGTCGTGCTCCCACATTCCTTGGATTGAAAGCTCGTCTTGTCGCTTGCTAACTCGGCGAACAAGGAGAGGGGTCTAGAGAGTGAGTATCTCATCATCCTTAGTCGTCAGGGCTTCTTTCATTTTTTTTATGTATTTGACTTTTGTGCTTGCAGGTATAATGGAGATAAGCAAGTGGCGCGTGCTGAAAGCCCGCTACAATGTTGCCGAGATCGAGGTTCTTGAGCCCCTCGAGGAGGAGGTTGCTCCCCTTGAAACTCGCCAAAAAAGAAAGAGGGGAGAGAAGGAGGTCGGGGGGACCTCTGCCTCTCAAGATGCTGAAGAGGTGACTTCGAAGGCTACTAATGCCGACGCAGTCGACTTAACTGGAAGTCCTCCTCCTGGGGGATCATCCCGAGCTGCTGTGGAGGAGGTCACTCGTGAGGCGCAGGTTTGTATTTTTCCTCTTATGGTTTTTCTTCCACGTCGTGTGATTTTCTTGTTTAATAACTTGGAGAATTTTCGTGCTTTATGTAGGCGGGGCCTATGCCAGTTGCCGCCGAGGCGCGGATGGAGCCGAGCTTAGAGGCGCCAGGGTTGAATGCCTCAACTGCTGAGCAAGCGACTCCCTCTTCAAATCCTGTCGAGGCCCGCATAGAGGGGCCGAGCTCTAGGGCACCTACGTTGACCCCTGCAACCGCTGTACCGCCTCCGCCTCCGCCAGGGATCATGTGAGCATGTCATCTGATGTGGACTCGATGTGGAGTTCAGGGATGACTGCCGAGACCTTCTACCCGCGAGGTTCGCTCTGCTCGACTGACAAGGCAATTATTGAGAAGGTCGGGGCAGTGGAGGGCTTGGACTCTGCAGAGGTCTTCATTCAGAGATCGATCACCATCATCGACCATTGGAAGCGCAAGTGGTCGAAGCTGCAAGGGGATCTCGAGAGTGCCAGGAGCCGAGTTCAGCCTTTGGAGGAGGAGAACAAGGCCTTAGGGGCCGCTCTCGGCGAGGCCAAGAGGCAGAACGAGGCCGAGCTGCAAGCCACAAGGAGGGATCTTGCGAAAACTCAGAAGTCTTTGGAGATTGCTCTGAAGGCTAATGAGGTTTATGCTGTCCAGATGGGCGAGCTGCAGGAGGTTGCTAATTCTGCTCGAGGCCGGGCACGCTCGCTAGAGGATGAGGTCTCGGTGCTGAAGGCTGAGCTGGCGGAGGCGGCTGAGAGACATCTCTGCGACGAGGTGCTGCTTGCTGGCAAGGAGGAGGAGGACGGAGCCTTGAGAGCGGACCTTGATAAGATTGTCGCGACTAAGGCGGAGCTAGAGAGGAGGCTCGTTGAGACCGAGCGAGCTGTTTTGATGGAGCACAAGAAGGGCTTTGTCAAGGCGGCTCGTCAAGCGAGGTTACTTGCGCCCGGGGTCGACCTTTCTGCTATGCACGTAGAGAAAGAGGTCTGAGCTGGGCGGCTGGTGAAGGAAGATGACCTCCCTGATAGCTCGAGCGAGAATACCACAGCTTAGGCCGCTGTTTTGTAATAGCTTAGTTTATTTTTCTCTCTTTCTGAACTCTTATTTTGTGTTAACGAACTTGTTTGTGTATATAATTTGCTTTTTTGATAAGGTTCGAATTCGACCTTAGTTTGGGATAAAGTAATTTGCACCAAGGTTCGAATTCGACCTTGGCTTACTGTAGAGTAATTTGCACCAAGGTTCGAATTTGACCTTGGCTTGTTGTACAGTGATTCGCACCGAGGTTCGAATTCAACCTTGGCTTATCGTAAAGTAATTCGCGCCGAGGTTCGAATTCGACCTTGGCTTAACATAAAGTAATTCGCACCAAGGTTCGAATTCGACCTTGGCTTAACATAGAGTAATTCGTACCAAGGTTCGAACTCGACCCTGGCTTAGCGTAAAGTAATGTGCACCAAGGTTCGAAGTCGACCTTAGCTTAACATAGAGTAATTCGTACCAAGGTTCGAACTCGACCCTGGCTTAGCGTAAAGTAATGTGCACCAAGGTTCGAATTCGACCTTAGCTTAACATAGAGTAATTCGTACCAAGGTTCGAACTCGACCCTAGCTTAGCGTAAAGTAATGCACGTACCTTAGTGTGAATTAGGGTTTATCGGGACCTTGGGCCCGAGATCAATAGATGATGGGCCTTTCTCCTGGTCGATGTCACGCAGCGCGTGTCCCATGTTAATCTGAGCTGTGATGTCGAGCTCAAGCTCAGCTTCATGGTAGGATATGTTTTCTTCTGGTTAGAAAATGCCTGGCTAACAACTGCCTATTAATAAATTATATATATATATATATATATATTACAATTTTTTATTTTTAACATATTAGCAAGTGCTGGCACTTATTAACATTTTCTAAATTTTTTATAAAATATTTATTTAAATAAGTCCATAAATAAAGAGAAAGTCACATCTAACAAACATAAAATAGTATTTAATTATCAAATTTGATTTTTATAATATTAAAATAATATTTGACTAATAAAAATCACAATGTGTAGATTATTTTTTATTCATGAAAAAAATCATATAATCTGTTGATTGCTTGAAATCTCAATCTCTTTTTTAAGTTTTATTAGTTTTAATAAGGTCATCACTCCAGATCGATCCAAACGTTTAAAATAATTATTTTTATATTATTTATATAATTTTTTTTCAAAATCTATAACTCAAAAGTCACCTCTTATATTCATAGAAGTTGATTCTAAAAGTTCATCTCTAAATCATACAAATATAATTAACTTTTCATGATTCAATGATTCATCACTAAAACATTTTCATTTTTTATTTCCACTTTACGAGTATTTGCCGAAAACTCGACTTGTGCCATATAAACATTAACCACGTGTATAGTTCCGTCTCCCATTATAATTTCTCAAAATCAAAGAGTTCCTATGAGAGGAACTTGTCCCTATGTTTTGTCACTACCAGTAAAAGGACAAAAAAGGATAGGCCTTTTTCTCTTGAATACTCCCTCTGTTTTTTATTCATAGTCATTTTGTTAGAATTTGTCATTTTTTTTTCATTGTCATTTTACTAAAATCAATGATTTATTACTTTTTTTCTTCTCATTCTTATCCTTGATAATTAATGTATGTTTACTGAACAATGTGTCTATTTATTTCTAATGTCTATCTATTTTTTCTCTAATTACTTATGTAAAGTTAATGTTACATTTAAAAAGGCAATATGTTTCCAACGAAATACTATAAAAAAAATAGAGGGTAGAATAGGAAAGTACGTAATAAATATTTTTGAAAACTAAAATATCAATCATTTCTTTAAGTCTCGTGCAAAATCTTAAACGACTTTGAATAAAAAACGGATGGAGTAATTAGACAAACTTTCATTTCAAACCACGTTTAATAGCTGCTCATTTAATAATAATCATAATCATAATAATAATAATAATAATAAACACAAGTAATGTTGATTACATCTTAGGTTTTCTACGAGTGATTAACTCACTTTCACACCACTAACAATGTGAAAACTCTTGGCATACGCTTTTCCGAATTCATGTCATTTTCATTGCATTTTTAGAATATTATTATATTAACTATGATAGTAGGTTTAACACATCAAATATCAGAGTTTCATGTCCAACCAAAGTTACTTTTCCTTAAAGGAAACTCCAAGCACACACAGGACACAGCCATGCAACGTCTCTGTTTCTAAAATCACTATTTGGTATTGGAGAAAGCAGGTTTGCACATTTAAATTTATTTTTGAGGATATTGGTTTTCATTTGATTTTGTAATCCATTTCTGATGAATGCTTCCAATGTATATATAGGAGAGAAACATCAGAGAGGGTAGGCCATTGATATTGGAAGAGTTCATATAACATATTAATAGAAACTGAGGGTATTTGTGATAAGATGGGAAGAGGAAGAGCACCATGCTGTGATAAGAGTCAAGTTAAGAGAGGTCCTTGGAGCCCTTCAGAAGATCTTAAGCTCATTGCTTTCATCCAAAAGTATGGCCATGAAAATTGGCGTGCTCTCCCAAAACAAGCAGGTATGTGTTTCTGTAATGTCTTATCTTGATAATATCTTAATAAGAGTATGTTTATTTATAAGTTTAAAAGTGTTTTCAAAAAAATTTCTACTACACGAATAGAGAGATTCTCATATAACACTTATAATTTGTATCTAAACAGACCATAAGAGACATTAATTTCAAGTTTAAATCTCCTTTTGTATATGATCTCATTCATTTTGTATAAATTGCAATTTTCATATTCCATCCTTTAATCTGCATTATTGTATAACCATATATGAAAATTTGGTATTCTCTGGAAACATGGTTTGTGATAAATCAAATTTCTCCATTTGCATGGTTTCACCCACTTTTTGTTTCATTCACCGCCAATTCTCTGCTACCTGGTTTGTGGTTCAAATTAAATAAATTCATTAATTGAGAATAGTAAAAGGAATGAAGACATGATAGTTTGGCAGAAATTGGTAACATTTGGCTTAACCCATGTTAGTAACATAAGTTAGAAAGAATGGTCACCAATATGTGACTGTGGACCCTCCTTTCCTACCTATAACTGTGACATCTGAAATCATTGTTAGAGAAAATCAGACACATTTTAAATCACTAATTTCTGATAATGCATGTTCACCTACCATTCATTAATGCTAAAAACAAAGTGTGTTGAATTTTTTGAGGACTTAAATAGTTAAAGAGTCATCAATTGAGACATCCCTGTCAAATAATGTATCCACATGTAACGTAGTAGTAACTAGGCCCTTTCTTCTCCGTTTTCACTATCTTCCACCAGAACCCTCTCTCTTTGATCCCACTTTTTCTTTGCAATATTCATGCCTTTTAAACTAAGATGTCAAGAAATTGAAGTATTATAATATCAGTGTACTTTGCTCTCACTTATACTTAATATGTGAACTTTATTAAGGCCTTTTGCGATGTGGGAAAAGTTGTCGTCTGAGATGGATCAATTACCTTCGGCCTGATGTGAAGAGAGGTAGTTTTACACTGGAGGAAGAGGAAACCATAATAAGGCTACACAAGGCCTTGGGAAATAAGTAAGTCTTCTTTTCTTTTTTCCTTCAAATTAATCATAAAGATAATTTCTTGTAATGTTATTTTGGCTTCTTTCCTACTCATTTTATGGCATAATTATGTTAACAAAACTTAAGTACAGTTTCTTGAAGTTCAAGTTTTATCTCGAAAGTATGTGTACATGTATATTAATAAGACCTGTATTAAATGTAAATATATAATACAGAGGTAAAATTTAAACTTTGGTCAGAGAACAACAACTACTATACCTAAGTTTTATCTTAATTATATCTAGTTATGGTTTCTACACAAATTGGTTTCAGGTGGTCAAAGATTGCATCACGTTTGCCTGGTAGGACTGACAATGAGATCAAGAATGTGTGGAATACCCACTTAAAGAAAAGATCGGTTGCAAAAAAAAGCTTAAATTCAAGTGCAGATGAGTCCAAGCCAGATTCATCAATAACTTCCTCCTTTTCCTCTTCATCTGAATCATTTTTCTCAAATGAGAGACCAAATTCACCAAAGACCACAACACTTGGTAGTGAATTTAATGACCAACCATCACAAGAGACAGATAAAATTGAGCAAGATTTAGAGAAACAAGTATCCAATGAATTTATCATCATCACTGAGAATCCAAAAGAGTCATCAGTTTCATTATCATCAATTGAGTCAAATATTGCAACCTCAAGCCAGGATGTTGCATGCAAAGCAGAACAACTATTGGCTTCTCCATTATCCTACCTAGGATCCTATGATTTTGGTAGTATATTGGAAGAGGTGGATAAACCAAACCACCTGTTTGAAATACCATGGGAATCAGATTATGATTTTTGCAAGTTGTTAGATGACGATAACTTTGGATCTTTTCAATCAAATGAAGTCCAATTAAGTGAGTTCCCAGCAAGCCAAAACGTTATACTTGAAGAAGAGATAGTTCAAGATGTTAAAGTCACACAGTGGCCCCATGATTTTGAGAATAAGTTTGGAGTTGTAGGTGAAATAAAGGAGTCAAACAAGGATCATTTCTTACCAAAGAATTATGAAGTTGGGCCAGAAATAGACCACACTCAGACATTTGATCTCGATGACATGAGAACACCAGAAGCTGAATTAGACTTTGGTTACATTCAATTATGGCCATCTTGGTCTTAGAATAATAATCTTTAGTTTAATACAAACCAATAGTTGAAAAACATACAAGTCCATTTGAGAATCATCAAATTGTGATTTACTTAGGAATACTGACTATGGTAAATTAATCGAGCAGATTAGGTCTATTTGATGTATGATAGTTTCATGTATCCTCCACAAAATAATGTTAGAATAGGTTATAGATTGAAGCACATATATGCAATGTAATGTATTAAATAATCGGAAAATTGAAGTCCCTTAAAATAATGTCATTAGTTAAAGTAAGAAAAAAAGAAGAAATAAAAGTCAATTTATATTCTGTCAAATATGTGCACATCTATCTTTTATTTTTGAATTTCGAATAATATTATGTCTTCTTTATGTAAATTTTCATTATTTTTCAATTTTGAAAATAATAATTTATTACAACACACATGATATTTAAGATATAATTTAGGAGTTAAATCACAATACACAACATAAAGGACTAGTTAAAGAAAAAGAGAATAAAAGGAACTCGATGTTGTTGTGGCATGTGGTGGTGTGGTCTACATGGTAGCAAAGAAATAACATTATCTTTCAATAAGCTTCCTTTGAATTTCTACAACTAATGGAAACCATTAAATTTCTTTCTTGGACTTGGTTAAAAGCTAAGTCAGATATTCCAAGTATTGCATTTATAGATCGGTTCTACAACCCTCTAGAAAGTTGACAATTGTGTGATTTACTTAATATCAAGTGTGTAAATCATAACACTTATCTTTCTTTTTCCTTATTTTTAGTGTTGTTAACCTCTTTTTGATATAAGTACATTTAGTTTACATTTCTTTGAAATTTTTTATAAATATTGGCTTAAATCTCACATATGAATAACTCTTTTTTTTAGAGAAGTTGAAGATGAAGAAAGTTGCAAACGTTGACACTTAGAGAATCAATAAGAAAATTGGGATCGTTGAAGTTGGATTTTCACTTAGTAAGCCAATCCAATTGTTGAGCAAGGGTTGCATGATGTAGAGCCATAAAGAAGTTTGCTCGCTCAAAGAGAATGTGGTCGTTAAGTGAGAATTCGATGACCAACACAGATCAAGTGACTTGCTCAATGTGCCCTTTTTGGCTCAGCGAGACAAAAACACAAAGTTTCTCTTGTTGAGGGAGACATGGGTGTTGAGTGAGACAATCTTGGAGCAACAAAGACTTTTCTAGCTTAATGAGCCAATTTGGTTGCTGAGCGAAAGTTAGTGAATGCCTGGACTTATGAGACATAAAGAATGTTCTATAATAGGGATTCAAAGGCATTATTGCAAACAGTACTATTGGCAAAACTCTTAGAGGTTGGGAACATCCTAAGAGAGTTGCATTTCCTCACTTTTTCGATCCTTCTCCATCTTTAGTGGTTACAAAATAGATGATTGTAGCTAAACTCCCACTCATTGAGATTGGATGTAACTATAGTTGAACATCATGTATTCACTTTACTTCATTAATATATGTTTCATTATATTCAATAGTGTTTTTACTCTTCTCTTAATGCTCTCTTAATTTATTGTATCTTAAGTGATTTATTGCTTTAGCTTTTATTGGAAAATGCTGCTTTAGTTATGTGGAGTTAAAACACACATTCAAACTCATATGTAGGAATGAACATGAAACTCAATGGATATTTGTGAACTACCCATTTTAATGCTTGTATTTCAATCAAGTCAACGAAGACATTGGATATTTGAGTGAAATACATGGTTTTAAACTCTTAAGGAATTGGGGGTTGGAGACTTTTTGTAGTTTTGTTAATTAATGTTGAGATGGACAACAGAGGAAATTCTTTTATTAACTAATACATGATGATGGTCTAGTGAAACTCAATTCCAATGATTCTCTCCTTTTGATTTTACTTAAGTATTGTCTCACATGTTTGGCGAAAAAATCTCAAAAGAAAAGTTATTGTTATTACTTAGGTTGTTACTTTAGAGTTCATTTATGCAAAAACTCAACTTCAAACAAAATACAATTTCATTCTTTTGAGTTATAGTATAATGTGTTAAGTAGGGATGGCAACGGGGCGGGGCGGGTACGGGTTTCATGATACCCGTCCCCATCCCCGCAAGTTAAACTCATCCCCATCCCCGTCCCCATACTCGTCGGGTATAGATTTTCATCCCCATCCCCGTTCCCGTCGGGTATCGGGTATACCCGTACCCGTCAATTTTTTTTATTTTTTATTTTTTGTAAAAAAAATGATATTTTTAAATTATTTTTTTATATTATATTATAATTATAATTAAGTTATTTCTTTATCTCATATTATAATAAATAATCACACATAAAAAATATTAAAAAATTTTAATATAATTAAATTGAAAGTGAATATTAAATTAAAAATGAGAACGGGGACGGGTACGGGGCGGGTAAGTACATACCCGTACCCGTACCCGTACCCGATTTAATATATCGGGTTTTACCCGTACCCGGTCAAACCGGGTATTCCCCGTCAAAGTCGGGACGGGTACGGGTATATTTGCCATCCCTAGTGTTAAGTTATATTTGTCATACATTGCATAAGTTCTCTTGGGATATGATCTTATTTTGAAAATACTACACATAATTTGATACACTTGTTAGTCGTCCAACAAAAGCATGATTAGATAATTCTATCCACGAAGTACAACACTTGATTTTGGGTTTAGTAATATAGGTGGTGATTCTGATTGGTTGTATGTATTTGTTAGGTTGGTCAATTGAAATGTTATTTGAAATAGCATTTTTTCTGTTATTTGTCCATTGATATATTACTAGGGGGTTCATTTTTATGTTGTGGGGTTGAGACTCTATTGATATATAGGGGAGTAAATCCATCGTTACGTTGTGTCAACCTTATATTTTGTTGTTTGGCAATGCTTTTGCACCTCTTGTGTTATGTTGTTTAATAAAATTATTATTTGTCTATAAAAAAATTGAAAGTTAAAATTGAGTAAGAGATTAATTTTTATTCAATTATTGATATTTGTATTAATAATTTTTTATATCTTAATAGTGTATGAATAGTGTTATCTTATATAAGGATCATATGTGTTATTTAGATAAATAAATAAAGAAGATTAATATTCACTTTAAAATTAAAAGAGAAATGTGTGTGATTTAAAAAAAAATCTCAATACAGGTTGGTGCAATTTTCCATTGAATAAATTGTTTGAAAACAACAACTATCACACACACTAAAATGGGTAGGTGAGACTCTGCTATTGCTGTCACTAGTGACATTTTCTCTTCATCATGTTCCCAAACCTTTAAAGAATTGAAATAGCCTTGCAAGTACAAGACTTGCATCGTAGGATTATAGTTAGCCACAAATGTTGGTTTTTACCAATTCAAATTCTCATTGAAATCCAAATTTTTTATATATATCAATTTACAAGACTCAAATTGTACTTTAATTTTATTCAGCGAAACTAGCTAATTTTTTGTTAATTAAGTTAGCAACCATTAATTTCTAATCAAGTCAATTTATGTTTTGGAACAAAAAGTGGTAGAACGTGAGATTTGAGCAAGGTGTAAATAACGTGTTGGAACTGACAAGAAAGATCGATAATTCAAAAGATTATTACACATACCTAAATTACAAACAATTTGACCTCATAAGTTCTGTACAGGTAATATCGTTTGGCTACACCGTTCAGCACAGAAAACCAATAAGAGTGGCCAAACGACGTGGCCGAAGGAATAACTCTCGACAAATAGGCCAAAGAAGCGAAGGTCGACAATTGATCGCACCAGATAACCGACACTTGATCGGCCAAACCGAAGCCTTAGAGAAATACGTCATTGAGTTAGCAATTATCCTTAATCAAGGATTAAAGAGTAATCACTCGGATAAGTTAATTAGGGACGTATTACCTAATCTGGTAATCGATCCTAGTACAAGGCCCATGGAGGACAGGGCCCATTAATGTCACTATAAATAGCTCATGTTTCGAGGTAACGTCACTGTTCATTAATTACTATCAGTATTTGTGTTTGTCCTGACTTGAGCGTCGGAGTGCCTTTTGTAGGTACCCTCCCCCTCACCAAAATATTCGCTCGGAGTTCTCGTTCGACCTTCAGAGATTTAGAAGATTACTTGTGTGCCTTTCAGACAGGTACAAGATCCAAACCGATATTTCCACCTAAACCTGCCCCCACTATATTATATATATTATATGAGTTAGGGTTTTATTTTTATATTGATTAACAATATAATTTAGTTATTCTAATATTTAAATAATTTAAGTTATAATAGTTAAAAAATAATGTTAAATTTATCCATTTAAGTAAAAGTTTTATTTAATTCTTAATTTTTTATATTTAAGATCTTTTTATATTTGTTATTTTTTTAATAATTTTTTCATTAAAAATTAATTAATAACTTAATATATGATTTATTTAAAATATATAGGAAGTTTTTCTTAAAAAAAAAAGAATGAGGTAAGTTCTTTGCTAATTTTAGTGAACTCGAGAAAATCTCATGAAAATGACTTTGGCTTCAAAATTTTCAAATATATCTTTCATAAACATATCTCCCTTTGGATTAGGCACAGAAGAGTCAAACTTGTCATTACTCATCTAGTTGTTATGCTTATTTACTCATGGTAATTAAAACATATAAGTATGAAGCCAAAACAACAAATCAATTCTTGCAGCTAATGACAGACCTACATTATATATAGTGAGAATAGACGGATGCACTTCCTCATTTTAATTAAATTATTAGTGTATGCATACAAATATTATAGTTTTGTTAGATCAAAAGAAAATCTTAGACCTCTCAAGTTCAAAAAATTTGTTCAAGAAGACAACAAAGAAGTTATATGCTATGAGTGTAAGAAATCTAGACACATAAAGGTTGAATGTGTTACAATTAAAAAGCAATGAACCAGAAAAAAAAAAAGGGCTAAGAAAAGTTTAATGGCCACCTAGAAGGATCTGGACAATAGTAGTAGGAGCAGTTTATTACGATACACGATAGTTAAGTACTAACTAGTGGAAAAAGGCTTTTAAAATCGGTTATTTTCAACTTTTAAAATCGGTTCCGTAACCGATTTTAAAAGAGCCGATTTTAAAAGTTAGACTTTTAAAATCGGTTAAATAATTGATTTTAAAAGTTAACTTTTAAGATCGATTGTTTTATAACCGATCTTAAAAGTCCTGGCTGCGAAAAAAATAAACCGGAACGGGCCGTTTCAAAACTAGAATGGGCCATTCCAAAACTAGAATGGGCCATTCCAAAACTGGAACGGGCCGTTCCAGGTTGTTAAAAAGGCCTAAAAAGATAGTTTGGAACGGTCCGTTCTAGCATAGTTTAACCAATCTAGAA